TAAATCCCATAGTTTAGGTATATATTGGCATGCAGGATTTTGTCCATCAACCGTACTAAGCCTACAGTGGCAGTCATGGTCATATCGCAAAGCCGCAACCCTGACTCCCGTCACATCAGGTGGGGTATCGTACTCTTTGCAAGTCGGGGGATTCCATCCTGTTCGCCCAGCACGGAACCTCCCTCAGACCTTCTGCTTTCATCTTGTTTGTTTCAATCTGCTGAAACTTGTGAACTGTCTCGGGCTCCAAGGTGCTTGGATGCTTATGGTGTTGGGCACAAATAATAAATAACTATGGTGATCCACGGCGAATACTGCTTTGGGCGAACACTATCGCCTTCCCTTTCGTGACTGTGATGTTGTCAGTAACAGCAATGGCAGCAGTAGCAGACCCCAGAATTTGTCGAAATGCCCACCGGTCGGGTCCTGCGGCGTGAGAGTGAAGTGATCCACGCACACAGACGCCATCAAGCCCTGCAGGACCTCTTGCCTGCGCCGCGGCACGGAGCTAGAGATTCTACGGCAGGATTGAGCCTCTCACCACTAAACCAGGCCTGTGCTACATGAACTGGATAGAGAAGGCCAATACTCGTGCCACCCAGCCACACTTTTGGAGCATTTCTTGACACGGATTTGTTGCAGGACGGTTTGGGTGGGCCGCATTCCCGGCGCGCTTCGTTTGGAGCTGAACGGTTGAAGTGCACCTGACATTTCTCAACCTCGGCTTTGTGGCGGCTTCAGGAAACTAATCGGGGCCTTCCTGTCCAGATCAACTGGTTAGAACCATTGTGCCGCTTCTCTACTTTTCAAAGACTGCCGTCCTGTCAAGCTCGCCCGACCCGTCGACATCAATGGCACCTGTAGCTGCATAGGAGATGATCTGGCTTGTCGAACACATGGAAGCAGCCTGTCTGTATCATGCCATATCATCAGCTCAGACACTTGCAGCCAGCCCCTGAAATTCAAACCCAAGAATGTGGGACTAAGTCCACTCTGGTTTGGGATTTCTCTGTCGCTACTCTCATCTACTTTCTGCGTCTAGTTTTGCTCAACCAAGCGGCTGAACAAGCGCTCCACTCTCTTCAGCTCTTCCTCCTGCAGAACTTGTCCGATCTTTTAAGCATATATGACATCCCTATGGGAAACCTGAAATGCCAGTACTGCCTTTGTAGTACCCTTAAGTGCTCTTGTCGGTTTCCGGATTTGCAATGTTCCGGGTGACCGGCGGCAGGTTTCTGCAGGCCGTAGAGGAAGTCAGACTCTGCAAGGATGCACCAGAAGCAATACCCTAAGGATCCAAAGGACCCGATAATAAGATACTTAGGTTTCGGATAGTAGTTATATGGGTTGCTATTTGGGGGAGTATATGATTACGGGGTACTTGGACCCCTAGGGGTTAGTACAGAATTTCTTGAAATTGATGTTTCCACTCTCATGGACGCGCAGATCCTCGTCGGCCGCAGGTGCTTCTCCAGATGCCTGCTGTCCGAAGAGGTTGCTTCTTTAGTCTTTATGCTGGTGTGATGAAGACTGGGAAGACATGCTACTACCGCAGCGACAAGGCTTACAAACAACTAGGGGAAGCCAGGCGAGGTCTGGGGGTTTAGGGCTTAGGGGTGACATCTGGGGGCTTTGGGGCCGAGCGTTTTCGGCACTTACACTCGGACAATCCAGGTTTTAGGGTCTAGGGCTTTAGGGTTTAGGGTTTGGGGGCTTCAGGGTTTAGGGTTTTAGGGCTTTGGGGGTTTAGGATTCAGGGTTTCAGGGAATGGGGTTTAGGGGCATCCCCGAAACACAACTTGAAATCGAAGGACTAGTGACTCATAGCCAGGAGCACGACAGAATCCGAAAAGGGTAAAAATCGATACATAACTCTAAGGGATCAGGAGAGTTCATAAGGGTTCACTGAGCTGCAAGGTTTAGGATTTAGAGCTCCCGGCTTGGCACTTAGTGTTTAATGTAGGGGCTTTAATAATTAGAATAGGGTTTTTGGGCATATTCTACTCTATAGTTGTATCAAGGAGCCCCCCAAAAATTAGTATAGGCAATTCTTAAGGCGCCTACATTACAGGGCTCTCCGAACTTAGAGTGAAAAGGCTTCATAGAAATGGTGGTTCCCAAAAAGCAAGGGTTTTGCACTACGGATCTTTTGTTGCAGGGTCAAAAATGAATCCTGAAAGTATCAGGTACGTAGCACCTCGGTCAGAGATAGCAACATGTTCGCTCCACTTCGTCACTTACCGTGGTCCACGTGGGCTAGTTTTCGGGTTCTATGCTCATTTCTCGTGGAGGTCGGGTTTGCAAGGAGGAGATCCCGTACTACCGGACCTGGTCAGAGCTCTTCGCAAAGCCCTCTGTGAGGGTCTTGGTAATCTTGTTGACGACCTGCATAACCTCGTTCAGGGTAATGTAGCATATAGTTGTAGTTGTCGTAGGGTATTTTCGACCCTAAACCCGTACCTCTATATCAAAGGTTCAGGGCCTTATCAAGCTGCAGGGGCTACACAAAGGCTCGGTTGAAAAGCCACAGCTAGCACTCAGTTCACAAGTGGGATACCTGCCGGGCCAAAGGCATAGATCGAAGAAAACAGGTTTCGTGTTCTTGCGTGTGAGAAGGGACCCAAATTCAGAGAACTACCCATATAGGGTTTACGTAGCTATGAACGGAAGTGGGGTGTTACGATCGCCCCATCACATCCCACGCGCTACAGAAACCAAGTTGTAGCCCCAGCTTACACTGATTGAACAGATCGATCCATCCTGAACCATAAACCAACATTGGCGCATGGAGTTCGAAACAATCCGGGGAGTTCGATTCTCCGCAGGCGCTACTGCCCTCTGGTCTGGACATCATGTGGGCCGTGGTGTCAAAACTGGGGCTGCTTGGAAGCTCCGTATGGCAGTGTGCACTTATGGTCAGCACACTAGTTTGACTCTCTCTTGATGTCTGCGTCGTGAGCAACCTAACGATTCAGTGATCAGGTGTCGAGCACTTAAGTAAGCTCCACAAGGTCGCTTATCTTGACAGGCCATCGCACAACAAATGATTCCAACAAGTGCTGCACATGCAAGCTCTCGACAAAGCCAGCTAAATCTGACATGCCTCACGAGCCTATCGTGCAGGGTTTTCACATCTGCAGCCCGCAGCAGGCATGCATCTCGGCACTCAACCTCTCCACAGCCCTCAAACTGCTGAACCTACAAAGCACTAGAACTGTGCAGAGGAGGAGGAGTAGTAGTAGTCAGTAGCAGCAGGAAGAGGAGTACTGGTAGCAATAGCAGTAGCAAATATTGTTATGAGTATACTCTCTGTGAAGTGGCCTATCTCCCTGTCTCAGGGCTGCACTGCCAGCGACAACGACAAACTTGCCATGGGCAAGTGGCAGTTCACGGCACCTTAGGACTCACCGCAAAGAGGGTCATTTTAACGGCCGGCAGAAGGTTGCAAATGCAAGCTCTGAACGCTTGCAGTCCACTCGGAAGCTCTTTAAGCCTGCAGTATTGGGCTTCGCAACCTCGGGGGGGTTTTGAACCACTTAAACTGGTCTTGCGGTTTGATTTGCCGGCTCTGTGTACGGGATCGTGCGTAGGTCATACTGCTGGAGATTGCTTGCTAATAAACTCCCAATGCCCTTTTTTTGTGCGTGGCTTGTGGGTGTGCGTGGGTAAGCTGGACTCTCAAGGTCTTCATGAGACACAAGTTGAAACCTAAACAACCGCCAATCGATTGCAAACGCGAGAAACCGTGGCTGTACTGCATCCCAGCGGCGGAAGGGTTGGCGCTGTGGCATTCCCTGCCGTGCCTCTTGATGCTGCCAGAAGGCAGAATAGCCCAACCTGCAATTTTCAGCTGAAGCATTCAATGGGCCCTGTATGGGTTTCAAGAACGACTGTGGGGGATGGAATGGCAGCCAGGACTGTCATATGCGGTTGCCAAGCAACATCCTCTTGAGAACGAGGGCCCCAAAAGAACAATTTGTGTTCTTGTTTGCAGAACGACTGTGGACGGTTGCAGGACTTCGGTGCCAAGTAGCTGGACGTTTTCCATTGGCTCCAGCACCTCATAGCCACCTGTGCAGCGATTTCTGTAAGCTTCTAGGCCTAGAAGTCGAATCGCAGATAGGGAGCAGAACTGAAGCAAGCATCGAATTTGATGTTGCCATGGGGAACCGTTCTTGATTGAGGTACTATACTTATACAAGAGGCGCTGACTGTTTTCTGCCGGAACCATTTGGGGGTTTCCGAAAATAGGGGACCCTAATATAGTACCCTAAATAGTAGGATCCTTGTTATAAGGACCCCAAGATAAGGTACCTTGTTTTCGGAAACTAGGATCCTTATTATAAGGACCCCAAGATAAGGTACCCCTAATTTAGAGAACTACCCATTTCATTGATTGGCAGATGCATGCATGAGCGCAGAGTCTCCACAAGCTTCCGAGTTGAGCACCGACGAAGGCAGGGAAGCCCGAACTTAACGGTTTAGAGTTAAACTAACTGATCTTTATGGGTTTAGGAAGTTTAGGAGCTTAGGGATTTAGGGTTTCGACTCTCACACTCGGGTTTAGGGTTTAGGGGTTTAGAGTTTAGGGCTTTAGGGGTTTAGGAGCTTAGGGTTTAGAGTTTAGGGTTTAGGGTACACCACCTGAGTAATACACTCCCACATGATCCAACATGGCTACGCCAAGAAGAGTAAGCGCTGTATGAGTAGTGTTTTGTATCAACTCCCACATGGCTGCGGCCAGCAAATAATTATGCTACTCCTTTCGCCCTCGGCGCAGCAACCCTAAACCCTCCCTAAACCTGTTGCCCTAAACTTTAACCCCTTTTGCGGCCGGCTTCTCTCGCCAGGAACTGCCGTACCCTACCTTTAGTCTCCATTGTGGTTCCTTTTTTCTGGTTTAACCAAATATATATTAACGAGTTTATGAAGTATCCCCCAAAAGGAGCTACAATGGAGACTATAGGTAAACCCTGGACCGGCTCAACTCGAAGAGACCAGGAGGTTCCCTCCGGAAACTGGGCGCGGAGTCGCCGCAGTCAGGGAGTGAACATGCCCCGAAGGTTTTAGGATTCCGTTTTTAGGCTTCCTTGAAAAAGGGTTCGTTTAAGGGCTCCTTTAAAAAGGGTTCGTTTAAGGGTTCCTCTAAAACGGGTTCCTTTTCAACTTACCTTTAGGACCTTAGGAATCGTTTAAGGATTCCTCTAGGAAGGGTTCCTTTTCAAGGTTTCCTTTAGCTTCGGTTCAAAGGATCGCGTTCATCAGAGGGTCTAGAAAGGCTCTCTTAAGGATTTTAAACCTTAAACCCTAAACCCTAAACCCTAAATTAGGCTTCTTTAGGGCCCCCGGGGATCCAAGGAAGAGTGGGTCTAGGACTCTTCATGGAGGCCGAAGCTGAGTCAGAAACTGGGAAGATGGGGAGGCAAAAAACCAGCGATTAGGGTTTGTTTAGGGGTTCAGGGTTTAGGGGTTTAGGGGGTTTTTAGGGGTTTCGGGGTTTAGGGGGTTGACAACCCCCCCCCCTCCCTTAATCAACAAGGAGTAATTTGGGGATCCCAATACTGAGGCCCTGATGGATCGACGGCAAGGATTAGGGACCCTAAACCCTCAACCCTAAACCATTACCCTAAGGGTCCAAGTACCTCATAGTCATATACTTTCCCAAATCGTAACCCACATAACTACTATCCGAAACCTGAGTACCTGATTATTGAGTCCTTTGGACCCTTGGGGTTAGGGTTCGGGATTTCGGCTTCAGGATCGCGCAGGTACACTCCTTGATTTCACGGCTTCTCCGGCGGGCTCGCCGTCGTTGGGCGAGACATTGCTAACATGGTATTCTAAGGGTTTAGGGTTTAACTTTTTTTTACATCTGGACTTGATGAATGCCAGCACCCCACTGAGCGCAGGACCAATAACGCCTAAACCCTAAACCCATTTAGGGCAAGTCGTGGCGACGCAGCCAGACCTCCGTACTGCCAGGAGCTCTGCCGGATGCAGGAAGGGAGTTTAACCTGAAGCCTAAACAGCCTCAAACCCTTTGAAACCCATAAGCCAGGAAGCCCTAATATAGGGGCCTCAATAATTAGAATAGGGTTTTGGGGTAGCGTATACTCTAGCTACAAGAAGGAACCCCGCAGAAACCCTATTCTAATTATTAAGGCCGCTACATTACACACGAACTCCGTGAGTTGAAGCCGACCGGAATGTCTTACTTCCCCAAAAAGCAGGGGAATAAAAGGTTAAACTTTCAGATTACCACTATATTATAAGAACCCAAATAGTTTGAAGCTTGGGTATTGGGGAGCGCAGATGTGCAACGCGTTCGGTCTCAGCCGTAGGGGAAGCCGGGCAGGGAGGGAGCTGAGCTCACATCGGAACGAGCTTCCGAAATTCGTCGGGGTCCTCGGCTTTCGGGCTTTCTGGCTTTAGGGTTTAGGGTTTAGGGTTTAGGGTTTAGGGACTTAGGGTAATGCGCATGGGAAGACCCCCCCGAAACTGTGAGATCCCAGAATTTTGGCTTTCGGGCTTACAGGGTTTAGGGTTTCGACTCTCACACTCGCACAAGGCCGGCAAGGCTCCGCATAGAGGGTTTATAGGATTTAGGGTAATGCGCATGGAAAGACCTCCGAAACTGTGAGATCCCAGAATAATTTGGCTTAGGGCTTGTAGGGTTTATAGGGTTTCGACTCACACACTCGCACAAGCAGGCATGGCGATTTATAGGGTTTAGGGCTTATGAGGTTCAGGATCCTACGATTTAAGCCCTCGTTCCAGCGCGGAGCAGGCGAGAACCGGCTTTCCCGAGCCTTGTAATGTAGGGGCCTTAATAATTAGACTAGGGTTTTGGGGGTTCCTTATTATAACTATGGGATAACATACCCCCAAACCCTATTCTAGTTATTAAGGCCCCTATATTAGGCATCAACCCGACGCCCGAAACCCTCTAGAGCCCTTCATTCACCATAAAAAGCCCCGCCCTTCTAAGCTGACATTGGGCTTAGGGTTTAGGGTTTGGGGCTAGACTGCCGCGCCTCAAAACCCCAGAAGCGAGCAGGATTTTTAAAACCTCCAAACCCAAAATCTCGACGACCCCCTCATGCCAGGAGTCGTTGCCCAGTACGGCTTTGCGTCGGCAATGCCGGCCGGCGGGGCACGGATCCGGAGTCTGAGTCCTGCGAAATAGTGGGCCTTATTTCAGGAAGAATGAAGGTGAGGCTCCTTCATACAGTTATGCAGGTGGGGGTTTCCAAATGAGGGCCCTAAAGTAGGATCCTTATTGTAAGGACCCTAAAATAAGGTACCCCGTATTTTCGGAAACTCCCAGGTAAGCCACCAAGTAGCAAAAGATCCCCCCAACCTTACAAGTACTAAGGCCTCGTGCGAGGGATCCGGGGTCAGGGTTCAAGCGTGTAGGGCTTTACAGGGTAGCACGTTTTGGATACAAGTGTTTGTCAAACCCGTTGTCGTTTTACGCTGCCTTCCAAAGGGTAGATCATCGTCATCATGATCTGTGCTATGGCCACTATCACAGGCACGCACCTTCCAAAGACATGGAATGTTGGACGCCCATCCGCAAAGGAAAATCTGACCAGCCAAACTCCAGGCCCCGGACATCAAAGCTAAACCTACCCGCAAAATTTCCGACTCTTCTAGCCTCAACCTTTTCCGGACTCTCAGCAGGTCCTCTGCTGCAGTCTCAAAAGCCTCCAGATCACCTTTGAGAGGGATGCGGGAAACTGGTCCAGGGTATAAGAGGCCTTCTTAGTCGTCTTACAAGTCCAGTATCCTTATGACAAGTTTGAGAAGTCATCCGGGCTAGTTTAGTTAAGATCATTCTCTGTTGCTCAACCACAATACAAGACTACCATACTGCATTCCTGTGGCGAAGAAGCTGAGACAGGGCTTAGGTCGGCGTCTTTTTGAGACTGCAAGGAACCCTCCAGCGTCCAAGTGCTCCGCCAAACTTCAGAACGATTTTGGGCCCATTGTTGTGTTCAAGTTGTGGCTGCGTCGGGCTTTCTGGGCACCTTTGCGGCGGTGCCATTGTGCACCTAGGGGGTTGCTTCGTTGTAGAATGAAACCCTGTCTTGATTACAGATCTCATATCCGCACCTTTCGAATCGATTTCCAAGACCGTGAACCGTAGTTGGTTGGAAGGGGTGCTGCAAGAAACTTGTTTTCTGTAGAGATCAATTTGAAAGGCTCCGTACTATGACTCCGGCTGTGCCCGGCCCAAACCAGAGACTGTCTCAAATCACGGTATCCTGTCAGTGTCATATCGACTCCTAGCAGAGGGACACATCCAGGGAACCCACATCTAGAGCAGCCCCACTTTACAGGATAGTTTCCACAGCCTTATGCCCAAATGGAGTTCATTGAGTCGTTTGGAGCTCGACACTACCTAAACTCTGAACTGGACTCTGAAAAGCGTACGATGGAAAAAACAATGCCCCAGCCAGGGAGGTGCGTTCAAAGTTCCGTGATGTTACGTGGCTTCGCTGTAGCCGTCCGATTCCTCAAGCGGAGACCCTTTGACTGACCCTGCGCGTCTTTAAGCCTTATCGGCTTGACAGAGGAATGACGAAGGTTTATACGAATCTTCAAACCGAGGACATTCTGCACTCTGCAGGCACGTTGCCCGCGTCACCGGTCGGCGTGTGGAATGCTTGACGGTAAGCTGCCTTCAAGAGGCACTGAGTTTTGGGACTTGGCCCCAGCCCACTAAATAAGCTGTGCGCAAGGGTTGGACATCTCTGTACCCGGAGTCTCCCCCGAAAGCAGGCAAGGTCTGGGAGTCGGATTCTCAGCAGTCCTACCATCGGAATCCAACCAGCAGGCAGCCGCAAGTTCCAGGCTCTAATTCGCTGCTTCGTCGTATATGCAGTGACCATACGAGACGATGCGCAAGTACACTGCAAGTGACTACCAACTACCACTACCGCTACTAGGACCTCTTCTAGTCGTGATGCTATAGTACTAGTTGATGCACAGGGAGCTGCAAGACGCAGCTGCGAGGATTGCATGTTTGGTTTTGGAAGTCGGGCATGCAAGTTGCATGTGGTCCGTTCCTTGCGAATGCATGCAGCATTGCAAGAAAAGCTGTGCCAGCGTAAGACCACAAACAGTTCAAACATCACATACCCCCGCTGAAGCCGTATATACCTACCCTAGAACCATCCCAAAGGCTCCCAAAACCACCGCTATGACTTCATGAAAAACACCTTCAGCCCTAGTCTGAACCAGAAGCTAACCTTTCGGCCCCGATTCGAGGCTCGAACGTAACTTCAGAAGAACAGCTGCCAAAACACAGGCGAAAATGTTCATGTTCACGGAGCTCGAAGAGGCTGGAACAAATTCCACAATCGGAGCCTCAGCCCCAAAGGACAACACGAAACCCTGCTGCATTTGGGCCCCTGCCCAAGCATATTGTAGGGGCCTAAAGAACTAATTACCTATACTATTACCCTATTCTAATTATTAAGGCCCCTACATTAAGAAGCTTAAACGTCTTAAACCCAAAACCCAAGCCAGAAACAACATACGCTAAGGTGAGGCCTCAAGCCCTCAAAGACAGGGTGGCGCGGGCCTCCACCTGCTCATCGCTCTGGAACACCGGCACGGCGGAGTCTAAAGGAGCTGCTGACTCCTTCCAGGCTTCTTCAGGGTGGATTCAGGGTTTAGGGGTTTTTTTCCCTCTCGCATTGATGAGATCTATGCCCACGGCAAGGCCTGCATTTAGGGGTTTAGGGTTTAGGGTTCGGTTCATTGTTTAAAAAGGTTTTGTCTAGCGCGGCACGTCCAGTCTGAAGACCGGCTTGCACAGATTGCATATCCGCCATCATCATCATCATTACCACAATTCAATTCTTCTTCTTGTTATTCGTGTTAGTAGATGTATGATCATCATGATGATCTGCAACATGTGCGTCCCATAGAAACTGATAACTGTTGTTGTTAGAAATATCCACTTTACTAAGTCGTGTTGCATGACTGCCAAGAATTAGATTCTTCTGCGGGTGTATGCCACCCATACAGGGTTCAGTATTTATCTGAAGGTTCTCTCTCGTTGCATCCAGGGGGTTCTAGCATGAGGCCCAACCCCTCAGGCCCCTCATGAAAGGGAGCTCACCCTCAAGCAACAGTCCGTGCCGACATTCTCTTAAGGTTGCCTGTGGGACTTATCGTTCTTCCGGCTCTTCGAAGCGGTCGAGTCATTCAGGTCAGGATCCAAGCGAAACTTGTCAAAGCCGGACTGCCTCATGGAAAAAGCTGGATGCTGAGGTCTTCGTGCGGACTTCCTCCTGCGTGCGGGTGCCCAAAGCACTCCCGGGCTCTGAATTTGTCAAGAAGTGAAGTTTGAATATGTGCAAGGGTTAGGGCTACAAGAAGGGAAGATTTACATTGCTTCGAAATCTTACACCACGGAACCCTCAAGGCAGTTGCAATCTGACCTGCCCCAACTCCCTATACGCTGTTGGTTCGAGGTCAAGATTTTGCTTACATCTTCAACTCAGACTTGAGAATTGTGCAATAATCTACAGGGTAACGGCAATACTGCCAGAACTGGAACACGAGAGCTGAAGTGCAGCCAGCTGCCCAAGGAAGAAGATGCAGAGTGCAGTGGCGGATCTAATACCTTCATCCCAAGCTTACCTATAGTCTCCATTGTAGTTCCTTTTTTTGGTTTAACCAATTCTATATTTAAGATCCTATAAGGTAACCCCAAAAAGGAACTACAATGGAGACTACAGGTAGACCGTGTATATAAGGGTCCACCGATCGAAGTGACGGGGACGGTTTACTGTATGCCACAAGAAATCTCCGGAAAAGTCCTGCTTGTCACGCAGCATGTGGTACTTCATCCAGAGCAGGAAGATCACGCTCCCGATGACGCAGATGACGAGGATGAAGGTATAACAGCGCCTCAGCTCTGCGCCCTCCCATGGGCTTCTGTTGAGTCTTTCCCTCTCGCATTGTTGAGAACTATGCTCACGGCTGTTGAGTCTGAGTCTAGGGATAAGGGGGTTAAGGGGTTCAACGTATAAGTTTTCAGCTCTCACAACTAGACAAGCAGGCGAGGATCCGAGTACCAGAACGACAAGCACATTGGCTACTCCTAGCTAGGAGTTTAGGGTTGAGGGTTTCGCGGGCTTCTGGGGCGACTTCGATCGCTCGTAGCATGATACAACGTCCTCTAACATGATGCAGTACGCTACGACGTGAAGCATAACCTTCCTTTCCCATCGCGTGTCCAGGTCCGCAACTCCGCACCTCCCTGTCACTGACATTGTTCGGAACTTCCTCTCGTCTTGTCTTCTTTAGCTTTTGCCCTATGTTCACATGGGTGGCCGCTTTCGGGTTTTTGTTTTAGGTTCATCAAACAACCCGTGCGAACTTTGAGGTAGGTGTAATATCCTGAAGCCATACAGCCCTACTTCCCAGATGGCCACGGGCACCACATCGCCGGTGTGTTCGGGTAGTTGGCCTGGTAGTAGAGCCCAAGGAGGACGCAACAAACCAAGACCTCGGTGGCTGAAATAAGGGGTTAGGAGTCCTACATTTCCCGCCTACAGATTTAGGGTCAGGTTTACCTGGCAATCTTAGTTTGGACTTGTTTTGCTGCCTGATTTTTCGGGCTCACCGGGCTTGCTCAGTTTTGTGAGCATTTGCTGCCCTTCGATTCCTTGTATGGCGATCAGGACAGGTCTTTCTCGTGCAGCGCCAGCAGACTTGGCGAGTTGTAGTTCGCATTCTCCGACGTCATCAAGTCGCCCGGTGCCATGACCGACGGCAACATGCCAAGAGACTCTGCTACCATTGGCTTAGTCAATCAACCCTGGCATTCGTCCTGTTCGCCATACTGCTGGGGAGTGCAGTTCAAGAGGAGGCTCTTTTGGAAGTTTTACATTCCTGATTACTCACTCGACGGACATGGCCATGGCACGGAGGAGAGCATCCCCAGCCAAAGGAAGAGCTGCGCGATCGGGTAGAGGAAATGATAGTGATTCACCTGTACAACTTGCAGCTCGAATTTGCAGAATGGCAACTTAAGCTTCTAAGAGTAGAACGACTCAGAGGTGAAGAAACACCCTCAGTTTACATGCAAAGGAATGTAAAATAAACAACTAACTGCTTCAGGGTTGTGTCTGAAATGGTCGCAGCTGTTTATGATGCAGCGTGCTGCCTAGAATCCCAAGGGCAGCAAGTCACAAGGCGACTTGCCAATGCCTTCCTCCAGTCAGTTGTGCACGCACGCTGCCGGATCCATTTTATGATGGATTCGGAATATGTATACATCTGTATATATATATATATGGTTCGTCCCTACAGCTCATCGTCTCAGTAAATCATCGTGGCTTCCGTCATCGCCATCTTCGACACCACCACCGTCGTCATCGTCGTCATCATCTGGGTTATCATGCCCATTGTTGTGCTCATGCCGACCGCATCATCACCTTCGCCCACGCATGATGGCCTCACCAGCATAAGAGACGTAAGCAGGAACAGAAGACATCTCCGAGCAGCAGCAGCAGCAGCTGCAGCAGCAGGCGGAGGGGTCACGGGTAGCTACAGGCAGCTTCGAAATCAAATCCAATCAGCTAAGGATAGGATCACGTACAATTCCCTTTCCGGTACTTGTCATAGAACCTATATCTACCCATGTGCCGTGAAGTAGTCGCAGGCATTGCAGACCGCAACTTCCGTACTTTCACGGCTTCAGCATTTGCACTAGGGAGCTTGGCACCAGGTCTACAGGGCTTTAGGATGTTTTTGGTATTTGGGCGTCGGCTTTCACGTTCCACGTGGGCGCGCAACAAAGAGAAAGTCACATCTGACAACTAATATAGGGCCTTAATAAGTAGAATAGGGTTCTTGGGGTCTTTTATAGAATATATATATAATAAGGAACCCCCAAAAAAAATCTCGGAATAATATTAAGGCCCCTATATTAACTCCCTAAGTGCCACGTCCTGTCACATCCCTACCCGACCACATCGAGGCGCCTTTTGAAGCAAGCCCTCTGCAATGAGCTTCACCTGGAGACGCACACCCTCGAGCCTGCTCCACGATCCCAAACCCCAAACATCTCTCATCAACCCAAAAGCATCCCAATGCGACCAGACCGCAAACATCCCAATACCAAACGCTCCACATCCCAATCCCCAGATCCCAAGCATCCTTAGAGACTCCAAACATCCCGAAACCCAACACCTACACGTCCCTCGAAGCTGAACCCTAAACCCTGACCCCCTCAACCCGACACCCTAAATGAACCACCTTCGAATTCTATCCAAAATGAGGTCTAGTTTGGGTAGTCTTGCTAAGTTCTAGTCAATCGCGTAGTTCAGGTTCTACAAGCTCTACCTACTAACACTTGCCAGGGCATGAGGGTTTTCAGAGCACACGATTCAAGGCTTTCCAGTTTCGGGAGTTTTGGGCATAAGTCTGAGGGTTCAAAGTTCTACTAGGTGAGAGTTTTGGAGCCATACAGTTGATGACATAAAGCCTGCATTGCCTTAAGGACCCTAAACTATTATGGGCAATGCAGGATTTATATCATCAACCGTAATGTCATAGACTTTCAAGGTTCCTGCGTTTTGGCTTGGATCTTGATGCCCAATGGTCTGCCATGATGGCCTAGAGAGCTTGCAGAAACTGTGCGTGAAGGTAACCACGGAGACTTCCAGTAAGAGAGTGTCGGTTGCGGGGTAAGGGTTCTATGATTTCAGGCTTTGAAACCCTTTTAAAACCCACACGTAGTAACCCTTCTAAAACCCTTCAAAAAGAACAGTGGGCGCATATGTTGGTATTTTGCCCTGAGCTGCCTCATCCTCTGCGATCCTCCCCACGGTGTCCTCGTAGAAGAAGGTGTAAAAGTTGCCAAACCTCTGCTAGGGTTAAGGTTCTTGGGATTTCGTTTTGTGGCTTCAGGGCGTTGAGGGTGCGGGTTTTCGGGTTCAGAGCAAGCCGCAAGGATGGGGCTACTACAACGTGAGGTTTGGTCTTCTTCTAGTTGCTCTAGGTGTAGAACGCTGCGCAACGATCCCGGGCGCTACAAAAGCCGGGTTGGGCTGAGACAGAACTACAAAGCTGCAAAGGCTAGACGTCTTCGCCCGCTGAAACAAGCATAGCTAAGATGCTTCGGACTCCCAGTTACCGTTCTCAGTATGAGCAGCGACATTCTTGCAGCAAACGTGGCAACAGGGACTCGTCAACCCGAAATACCGCACAATGCAATGCACATCCTAAGATGTGCGCACCCGCCCCAAGCTCAAGGAGTTGATCCGGAAGCCTGAAGCTCCGAACCGTCTCTGTTTCTTAGGGTTCAGGGATCTTAGGGTCTTAGGGTTTAGGGGTTCAGGGTTTAGGGGTTTAGGGGTTTGACTACTTCTTGATCCCAGATGCTGCCGTTGCAGGCCACCTCGCAATGCCTGGTCGCCACAGGGTACAATGTAGGGGCCTTAATAATTAGGATACGGTTTTGGGGGTTCCTTATTATAGTTATAGTATAATATCCCCCACGCCCTATTCTAAGTATAAAAGCCCCTATATTATTCCCGAAAGTACCGGCTTGGGTTGTGCTGGCAAGCCCATGGTCGGCGCTCCAGAGCGCCGACCAAAACCCTAGAGGCTCTTTTGCTGCAGGCTTGCAAGCAGGAACGCCTGGTAGTTAGCCACTCGTCCGCCGACTAACACTGTACTCGTGACAGTGCTTCCAGCTTCCGAGCATGCGACTGAGGAACTTGACTGAAAAGGCACACTAGTCCGAACTTGTCATAAGCATGTTGGTGAATGGCACCCCTAGAGGCCCTAAACCCCAAACAGCATAAGAAAGGCTTGGGGCCCTCAAGCCCGAATCCCTCAAACCCTGAACCCTGTAACTTTTACATAAACTCTCCTGAATCCCTCGAACCCCCTAAACCCTGTAACTTGCACATAAACTCTGGTCTCCAGACTACTGCCCGGCCTTGCCGAAGTCTTTGGGCGGCGGGGGCTTTCGACCAAAGACCGGCGTATTTCGACCCAGGGCTGGTGCGCTGCGGCCCCGAAGGACACTGCCTAGGTTTGAGTGAGTATCTCCCTAAACCCTAAAACCTAAACCCTAAACCTCCCTAAACCCTAAACCCTTGGCTCTGGCGAGTTTAGGGTTTCGGCGCTCACTCGGACAATCCAGGCGAGGCATTAGGGTTTAGGGTTTGGGATTTCGGGCTTTTGCCCCATTTAGGGTTCAGGGTTTAGGGTTTAGGGTTTAGGGGTTTAGGGTTTAGGGTTTAGGGTTCAGGGAAGCTTCGGGGCTTTTAGAGTTGAGGGTTTCGACTCTCACACTTGCACAAGGCCGGCAAGGCTCTCTACAATCCCGTCACGCCAGCAGGCAATCTACCATCCTCAATAAGCTACGAGGCAACAAACAAGTACGCTAGTATAAACGGTGTTAGCGACCTTTGAAGACATCAGACCGTTGAGTCATTGCTCTCTGCTGGTATCACTATAGGTTCCTAGGTCTGTAGACCCGAGACTGTTTCAAAAGAGCTACCCACGTCAGATTGCAACTCCACATCAACCTATAGTCTCCATTGTAGTTCCTTTTTGGGGATACCTTATAAACTCGTTAATATATGTGGTTAAACCAAAAAAAGGAACTACAATGGAGACTATAGGAAGGGTTTAGGGTTTTGGGAGGGTTTTGGGACTCCGGAAGCTGATCTTGCTGGGCTCCTTCTTGGACGTATCTACGCTCAGGTTGTTGGTGCAGAGTTTTAGGCTTCAGGGCTTAGCATTCTGGGTTCTGGGCTGTGTTTTAGGCGCTGAAATCTTTGATGGGTGTCAAAAAGTGTCAGCCTTACGAATGTTTGGGTTCCCAAGCTGGCTTGCTTCGGGTTTTTGGTGCCTTGACTCTCCATTACTCGCGGAGCCTAACGTGTCATATGGCTTCGGGAGCCTAATCAAGCACGTAAACAACAATGAAGATATACACCGTACAATATAGTTGAATTGGCCAAATACCGACGTGAATAAGTGCATGTATATATATATATATATATGCACATAGGTATGTATATGTATATACGTAATATATGTATTATATATATATATATGTAATATATATATATATATGTATATATATATATGTATGTATGTATATATATATATATGTATGTGTATATATATATATATGTGTGTATTTGGCTGGCTGTCCCTAGGCAAAGTCCGGTGTGATCGAGTCGGCACGCTCTCCAGCAACGAAGTTCCGGGCCAAACAGGCGTCCACGAAACGCTAGCTGGTCGACTGATGGATGAATGTCACGACACTGCCAAAGCAACCTAACCTAACTCAGCCCAGTCTTTAAATAGACTCTCAACCCCAAAGCTTAAGCGCAAACCTTTAACCCTAAGCCTTAAGTATCCAAGTCTCCCTACATCCTAACAGACACTCCTTAAACACCTCTACACTCGAACATCCTGTACTCTCACCGTGGTACTCTGATACACCCTGAATCCTTGACACACCCCGAATCCTAAACGGTCCTAAGGTCCTAAACTTTATCTATAGTCTCCGTTGTCGTTCCTTTTTGGGGATACCTTGTAAACTCGTTAATATATATTTGGTTAAACCAAAAAAGGAACTACAATGGAGACTATAGGTAAACCCTAAACCCTATGCCTAAGACATCTCTTCACCCTCAAGGCCCGAAAGCTGAAATCTGAGCCCGGCTGCTCGGCTGCTGAGACCAAGAGGCCGAACTCCTCAGTTGGCTCGCAGCTCTTAGGTTTGTATATATTGGATTTTCGTGCTACTCAGTGTATGTGTGTATATATACACATGTACACGTACATAAATGTACATACATGTATATAAATAAACACATAGATATAGAAATATATCAAGCATAAACATTCATTATTCAAATTTCGTAACTCTTTATTTACATCGCATATACATTCAAAGAGCTATATGCATCCTTTTTTCAGGGATGTTTCAATGACCCCAATATTTAGGACGTACATATCTGAATGCCCTACTACGACCCTACTATGCCAGAAGTGAAAAGATCGCAAAGCGCAGCTGCTGCCAATCGTTGCAGCTGGAATCTTAGCCCCCCTCTTGCTCTCTCACCCATATTCTTTTTGTCTGGCCACTACAAGTGAGTAAGCAACCCGGAAACGCCTATTAAAAGATATGCAAGCTTATCAGAGCCCTGGCAAAACCCCATAAATCCTATCAACACGCCGATAAAAGCGTTTAAACCTCACCAAGAAGCCTAATGATTTCATGCTAGAAGGCTCATCAGGTAGGGTCTTCTAAACACCCTAAACCCCAAAACCCAAAACCCTAAACCCTAGGCCCATGTCTGCAGCCATCGGATCGGGCTTGAGATGTGACGTCCCGGAGCTGCCTGGCAGACGAGCTGAGCTTCATGATCAGTGGGGTTTAGGGTTTAGGGCTTTAGGGGTTTAGGGTTTAGGGTTTTAGTCTTTCTGTGCTTTAGAGTTTAGGATTTGAGGTTTGGTTTCGGGCTTGGTTTTGCCCGTCGCCTAACCTAGAACAACAGCCCGGAGCCAAAAAACACTGGGCCTTTTCTCGCACTTGGATTGGGGATGTGGATTTGCAAGAAGAGGGACAAACGTTTTTGTCGGCGCAGTCGTTTCTTTGGGTCGATTTGGGTCAAAGGTTTGGTTGATCACCTCTCGTTCTCAGACTCAACCTCTAGGTGTTGTTCGATGGGGTCTCTGTGCTTCTAGAGTCCTATCAACCGCTTTCATATTTCTATAAGCATCTGCTCATGACAGCCTTCTTATGCACAGTCTGCAAGCACGCTGCTTCATTGCTGTTCTTGGCAGAAATATTCTGGCCCCTCGCGCCAGATTCGCCCCGAACGGCAGGCCAGCTTCCTCTGGTACCACCCAAACCTAAACCCCCAACCCTAAACCCTTCATGAACCCTAAGGCCTTTACCGCATGAGCCCCCAAAACCTAAACCCTGAATGAAGACCTTGAGCCGAAATGCCGCCGCTTTGCCAGCCTCCAAGCATTTTTTCTGAAGCCTCGAGCCCCATCGCACCCGATCTGCAATACTAACCTGAACCCAAATCCGTCAAGTGCACTATACGGGTACCCTTAAGGATACCGTACAATTTCCGTTTAAAAGTACAACCAAAGTCTGTAAAGTTTAACTTCACAGGCCCTGGCATACACCCTATACTCTGAAGATCTCTAAAGTTCTACCCCACAAGGCTCAAGCACCCTACTTACCATAGGGGCCTTAATATTTACAACAGGGTTTGGGGGTATATTGTACTATAACTATAATAAGGAACCCTAATAAACAGTAATTATTTAGGCTTCTTTTTTGCTTATAGAGGCCTTGAAAGACCGAATAGAACTCTGAATCAACACCTATACAAATCTGGGGCAGCGCCCTTAAAACATCCTTAACACAAGTTTGACAGCAACCACAAATGCCTCGTCGCTTCTTGGCGACGCTGCCTTCGTCTCCAAGGCATCCAGTCGGTCGCGTCGCAAGGCTTTCAGGAGGTGCCTCGAGTTCGCAGTTTAATAATATAGGGACCTCGGTAATTACCAATACTATTTTGGGTGTTCCTCATTATAATTATAGTACAACATACCCTAAAACCCGATTCTAATCATTAAGGCCCCTAGATTACTATTCGGGTTTCAGCACTCACAGCTGGGACACGCTTGGCGAACTTACTGGTACGACGACGGCACATCGACTAAGGGTCATTCCGTATTGACAGAGGCTTAAATTCCTTCTAAACGTGCATGGCTTCAGAGCCCGCAAGCTTCCCCCTCGAAGGTCTACGGGTTTAGGGTTCAAGGTGTCCGTGACATGGTTTTAGGGTCACATTTTTCGGTTTAGGGGTTCAGGCAGTGCAAGGTGTAGCTGCTGGAAAAGAGGCTATCTGGTGTTGAATCTGAATGAAAGATACCGGAGCATGCACATCATCCCAAGGCGTGCCTACTATAGCACCCCAAGGCGTGCCTACTATAGTACTACGGTATCTTGTGGTAGTCCACTTCTGCAGCCGCAGCAATGCAGAAAGAATGTCGGATTCCCTGGTTGAAAAACTTAGAGGTTCATACAGTTGAAGACGGTTCATCCCATTTGGGGCCACTGAAGTTCCGCCTGCGTTGACTACATGCCAGTACAGCCATGCGATTTCACCAAGAACCTCCCTAAACCCTAAACCCTAAACCCTAAACCCTAAACCATCAACACAACGCTGGTTACAAGAAGCAGGTTCAGAACATACATAAAAACCAAAGGAACCCTAAACTTGAACCCTAAGCCCCAAGATAGCTGTTTAATCACCGAGATTAATGACCCCTGTAAAGCCTAAGCCCCTAAACCCTAATCCCTAAACCCCTAAACCCTAAACCCGTATCAGAACAGAGATAAAGCCTGGCTGCTTCTGCAAGTCGCCCATGACATCCTGCTGACAAAGCTCGACTTCCTGGGCGTTGGCATGCAACTCGGTGGGTTTATGAATGTGGGTTTTTTTGCCTCCTAATTAGCGAGGACGTGCCCGCATTGCAGGGTGAATGTGGGTTCAGGGTTTAGGGTTTTACAGGACTGTTTAGTGTCTATAGAGTTTTGGCTCAGGGTTTAGCGGACTGTAGAAGGGTTTTTGTAGAGTTACATAAGGCCTCAATGAGTTTTCCGAAGGCTTAACGTCGAGGCCACAACGATTTCAAAAGAGTTTTGAGTAGTATATAATGCCACGTCTACGTGTGTGTGTGTGTGTATCAGTGTATATATATATATATACAGTGACTTCAGAGGACGCTATTACGACTTACGCACATCCCCATAAACCCAAGAGAGTTTCCATTTTGACACTTCTCTAGCACGACCCTTAGCAAGCATTGCCGTCGAGTGCACCCCCATGGGTCTGTTTGATGCGCATATTGCGCCAAACCATGCCTGTCAACATCCTTTGATTTCTGAGAACCATCTGCATATCCCGGATCGTCACTCTCCCACTGATTGCATTCACACTGTGGTTCTCCATCTCCAGACCTCCAGCAGGCAAGCTGCAAAGCGAGCTGCGATGGTCAGCATCAGGGTGAAGAGTGGGAAGACCTGGGGAAGCGACACCGAACCCTGAACTCTAACACTACGAGTCCAGGAGTCCAGGCTATGGTTTCAGACTCTCTTGGAAATGCGTAATGCTGGGGGGCTGACCAAAGCCAGAGCCGCCAGTACAGCATAGGCAACGAGGAACACCTCTGGGCGAGGTGACCCTGGAGAATTGAACTCGCAGAGTTTGGGCTTTAGGGAATACCAGCAGCTACACAGTTTGGGGGTTCCGAAAATAGGGGACCCTAATATAGTACCCTAAATAGTAGGATCCTTATAATCAGGACCCCAAAATAAGGTACCCCTTCTCTTGGGAAACTGCCAGTTGGCTCCACCCGAAAACGTGAATCCATTCGTTCGAAGTCGGCAGATGCATCGAGTGCTCATCTTTTGCTTCACTCACATGGCCAAAGCAGGTCCGCCGCGGAACCGTGTCCTATTGGTCGTGCGATTTCGCATCCCAAAAACTAGCAGGTTTCCCACGGAAGAAACCTGAAACTCTGAAACCTTCGGGGACGTTCTGTGCTGGTGCAGTCCATGCAGAGCGCAGAACCCCACATGTACACAACCAAAGGAACGAAAAGCCGGACGGCATGGCTGGGTAGCCCTCTACGACTTGTTTCTGAAGCAGGTCTGACGGGCAGAAAGTGCGCCATGTGCTGCAGCTTCGACTGAGACCTCTGAGTTGGAGGTCGACGTTTCGCGTGGCATGCCTGTCTAGATGTTCCCATAGTCTCCGTTGTAGTTCCTTTTTGGGGATACCTTATAAAATCCATAATATATATATATGTGTGTGTATATAATTATATATATATATATGGTTAAACCAAAAAGGAACTACAATGGAGACTATAGGTAGCCTTTTATGAGGAGCCTCAAGGCGACTGCTACTCAGCACAACGGGCAGCTTCTGTGTCTCTTCCTATATCTTGTAGAGGCCTCTACAGTTTGAACAGGCCTTTTGGGGCATGCTACGCCTAGTTTAGTTATGATAACTGACTTGTCGGGTATCATGGGGAACTAAAGGTTAACCTTTTGGGTTTCTATAGGGGTTACATAGGGATATACTACCCGAAAAAGGTTAAAGGTTACCTACTCTACAACTAGGATAAGGACCCCGAAGGACTGGTATCGGTATTGGCCCCCATATTGGCCTTCTGCGTGTCGTCGTAGTCGTAGTCTGTCCTGAGCTCGGGGTTCCTAAACGCTAGGGTTTAGGGGTTTAGGGTTCCCTTTTGCAGCAGGCTTCTCTCGCCCGGAACCCTAAACCCTAAACCCGTCAAATCTCAAGGCCATTGGGCCAATTCACTTGGCCTGCACTCCAAGTCAAGCGTTTCGGGTGCACAAGTCTTGAGCCTCAACGCAAAAACAGCCTGACCCACTTAGGCCGTAGGCCTGCGCTCTCTACGACTCTACGGCTAGCTGCTAGACAGCCCACCCAGGCACTCAATGGACACCCACAGTTACAACACCTTCCTGTACCAGGGCCCTTACTACCGAAGCGACGATGGCCAACATGTACCGCAGAATCTCAACGCCTTCCGGCCGAAGAAAGCCACAAGAACCCGGGACCCCCGCGTAGTTACTTGCCTGGGCTCTCTGCCGGTGGGAATGTTCCCTCCACCACGAAACCAAAGCCTATCGAGAGCATCAGCGTCGCCACGACCTCACTGAAGTGCTCCCATTGGCTCAATCCGTACTGGGAACCCCAAGTTCCTAGCAATAACACCGCAGTCCTACGAAGTTTTGTCACTTTGGGGAAGAGGGATGAGGCGGTGCGTGAACTTGACAAGGTCGAGATGCTGTCCAGGTCATTCGATCTACTGAAGCTGACTTTGAGCTGCACGCATTTCGGCTTCCTCTTGAACCCCAATGCCCTAAACCCACAGCGTTCAGGCAAGCTGCAGCAGTGGAACTCCGACATGCAGTTGTAATGCTGCATTGCGAACCCTTTTGCTGCAGGCTTGCAAGCAAGAACGCCTGGTAGTTAGCCACTCGTCCGCCAGCTAGCACTGTACTCGTGACATTGCGACCCTAAACCCCAAACCCTAAAACCCTAAACCCTAAAACCCTAAACCCTAAACCCTAAAACCCTAAACCCTAAACCCTGAGTCGGCAAGCGAAGCGCCGCCGTTCAGAGAAGCCAAAACTCGAAACCCTGGATCCGGAAAGTCTTCAGCCCCTGCTTGCGCTGACATAACCTGAGTGAGGCCCCAGACCAAGCCCATGAGCCCTAAGCCCTAAGTCCTAAACTCAAAACTAAACCCTAAACCCCAAACCCTAAACCCTGAAGCCCATGAGCCCTAAGTCCTAAACTCTGAAATTTAAACTAAACCCTAAACCCTAAAGCCCATGGGCCATGAGCTTATAAATCCTAAACCCTAAACCCTGAAGCCCATGAGCCCTAAACCCCAAACTCTAAACCCTGAAGCCCATGAGCCCTAAGTCCTAAACCTCCAACTTGGGGACCTGTGGGTACAAGCTTCGGCGCAGCCTTGATGGCATTAGGCTGGCCCGACCCATAGGCCATAGTACTTTTCGGGATTACCTTATAGGGTTCTAAATGTGACATAGGCCCCATAGTAGTTCCTTTTTGGGAGTACCTTATAGGATTCTAAATCTGAGCCCCCGAAAAGGAGTTACTATGGGGCCTATGGGTAAGCCAACACCCATCATGGGAAGAGTCGTGACGAGAGGCCATGAGGTTGTCGAGACTCGAGATGATCACCGTGACCTGCTACTCTCGATACTCGTTTTTCGTTTTTTGGTTTTAAGGGCTTTGGGTGGCCTTAATAATTAGAATAGGGTTTTGGGGTCCTTCATACTGTAGTTAGTATTAATAAGGACCCCCCCCAAACATAGTGCGATCTTCAGATTCCGTGATACAAGAGGTTTTTTTTAGCTGTTCCAAGCCCAGGCCTGTTGTGAATCGGCCCTCGATGCTTCCTAATTACCCATAGGCCCCATAGCGGTTCCTTTTGGGGATTACCTTATCGGATTCTAAATATGAACCCCAAAAAGGAACTACTATGAGGCCTATGGGTAAGCCAAAACCCATCATGGGAACCCTTTTGAACGAGGTCTCTCTGAAGTGCCATCATGGGAACCCTAAACCCTAAACCTATAAGGTAATCCCAAAAAGGAAGTACTATGGGGCCTATGGGTAAGCCAAAACCCATCATGGGAACCCTAAACCCTAAACCTATAAGGTAATCCCAAAAAGGAACTACTATGGGGCTTATGGATACGGCCAAGGCCTGATCCCGCATCTCCTCCCGGACTGTATTGAGGATGTCGATCCTCCGCGCTTCCAGAGGCGAAGAGGTGTATCACTGTACAGAGTTTAGGGTTTTTTGCCTGGTTTAGGGTTTAGGGTCAAAACACTGCACAGGGAATGCCACAACAATCTCGGCTCTTACAATGCACCTGTTCACTTGCAGTGCTCGTGCTGAGGGTTTCCGTCAAAATGAGCCGAATCCCAGAACTCTGTCTGACACGGCTGCAGCCAGCAGCATTTGACGCAACAAAAACTCGGAGGAGTCAGGGAGGGAAAAACCAAAGAAGTCCTCATGCTCTGCAGGCCGATGTCGTAGCCTCCGGGAGGGTTCAGGGCTTCGAGCCCTTGGGCATACTGTAGGGGCCTTCATAATTAGAATGGGGTTTTGGGGTGATGCGGGCGAAAGCCTGTCGACGAAGAGCGAAACAAAGGACGACATATGAATCCTCAAAGAATGTGTGAATACACGTGTAAAGAAGACATCTACAACTTGCTGCAAATAGAGTGCAGAAGTCGAAGCATTGCATCGTATCTTTGGGACCAAGAGTCCAAAATCTGTACAGGGAAGTCTTGGTTTAGGGCATCTGCGTGTAAGATTGCGTGGCTCAGTAGAAAAATTAATCAGCTGATTGCAAGAGGCACATCTTTCAGCCTGTGCCCAAACTGGTTCAAGGACATGAGTGCGACAATCATTCTCGAGAATTCGGTTAGCTTTAAACCTTTCAAGAGCAGCCCGAAACCTAGTGACCCTTTTGATGGCGGCATTGAATCTCCTAAGGGGGCCAGGTCGGGAAGGAAGGGCACTACGAATTTCTTGTCCCGTCAAGGAATTCCACTTTTCAAGCGTGATTTGAGTGATACACGCAATTTGATTCGGAACATCACTTTCATTATTTTGCATTTCGAGTATTTGGTCAACCCAGGGCAAATGAGATTTGGCAGCAAATCGTGGGATTAGCCACTGCTTTGACAAAGGCGTGGTCATCAACGTCATTTGTGAGACCCCGATGGTGTCGCAGAATTGCACAGGAGTGATGCGTATCACTTGTGAATTGACATCTTCCAACATCCTGGCACTTATTCGGAGGGTTTGAAGCTCCGACGCAGCTTTGGGGGTATCTTATACTATAATTATAATAAGGAGACCCCCAAAATAGTATAGGTAATTATTTAGGCCCCTATATCACGGTAACACATCGAGTCGCACCCTCCTGAAACTGAAACGGAACCAACTTGCCCAACCATTGGCGGTGCCTCGCCGGGACCAAGTCTCATCCCTGTTGTAGGAATGCCACGACTGCCTCGGGACGAGGGGCTTGAGGACGATGCTGTTGTCGCGGTGGCTACCGCTACGAGGAGTATACGTATGACTACCACATACTCGTCTGTTGCGATGAGTTCGGCGGTCCTTTCCTTCTGGCGGTCAGGGTGTCTGTCGCATGTCGCAACAAAAAACCTTGAACATTTTACGGGATCACAGACTGGCTTTAGCCAGGTTGCGATGAGTCTGGAGATGGTTCCTATTCCTGCTGCTGGACCAAAATTTCCTGGTAAAGCAAATCAATATGCGTGAATAAACACAAGTTTGCATGCATGTGTGCATGTACGTACGTATGTATGTAAGTATGTATGTATGTATGTCAGTGTGCCATGTATGTCATGTCAGGTATGTATGTATGTATGTACGTATAACTAACCAGGGCTGTACAGTTAAAGGATACAGCTGCGTAGCTTTTATGGGATATCGAACCGCCAGGGGGCAAGATCCCGATGGCTTCTCCCAGGGACAGCGTCGCTGCTGCAGCGCCCATTCCGATGCTTCGGCCCAGCCGGGCGGACGGAAAGACAAGGCTCCGGAGTGCACGCTGCCGGCGCAGCAGTAAGAACGCAGTAAGAGTGCTGCGGATATGAATTATGGTTGGTGGCAATGCCAGCTAAACAATAGGAACTAGCAGAAGTCATCAACTTGTTGATCTACAGACATGTGAAGTTGTTGAAGGAACTCTGGCGCCGAAGGCTTGAGAGCAACACGATATGTATTGCTTCATAAACTCTCCAGCTGGCTAGCTTTTTACGACCTTTCTGTACCAGATCCTTTCCTCAGCATGTCCTAACCTAAGCATTGGTGAACAGGTTGTCGAAAACGCTATATTGCATGTGTTTAATTTCGCATATCGCAGTCTGTCTGCATGTTGGGCCGATGGCTGCAAAGACGGGCGGAGCTGTTTCGGTGCGAAAGGCTTTGCTGAGGTCGCGGGCTGGAGAGCTTTGCGCATCGGTGGGAAGCATCTCTCATATCAACGTCCGTGAAGCCATGCTAGAGCAAGAGCTGTAGAACCTCCCGCAGAAATCCCCAAGGACATCTGAACAGTTTCATCCCTGGAGCCGAGAGTTAAGCCCCGAAGCTCCAAAGCCCTGCACAGAAAAAGACAAAGGGCTTACGTCTATAAGTCAAAAAATCCCCAAACCTTCAACCCTAAACCGCAAAACCTATAATAGCTTAAGCTCAAGATACAACTGAAGACGGGAAGCACCACAAGATGCAAGGGACGCCTGGAGCCACGACCGTAGCACCATCGGCCGACAGGACCTCAGGGCAAGCTATCTAAGTGTTTGGGATTGGGGGGTTTCCGAAAATAGGGGACCCTAAATGGACCCTAAAAAAGTACACTAAACAGTAAGATCCTTACTACATGGACCCCCAAATACGGTATCCTTTATTTTCAGAAACTCCCATGTGGGCTGTCCTAGAAGGGATAGCCGGAGGCGCTATTTATGCTGGGTGCGGCGTGATTCCTTGCGTGACAGTCCTTTGGTTCTGTGCCTGTGGCCCCACGATCCTCAGTGCGCATCATAACCAACACGAGGAATAAAGGCAGTAGTAGCAGTCGTCGTCGTCGTCATCGTCGAAGTGGTACTGGTTGTCGGAGTAGGGGTAGGAGTGGCCATAGTCGCAGTAGTCGTCGTTTTCGAAGTAGCTGTAGCAGTAGTAGCAGTAGTCGGAGAAGCAGCAGCAGTAGTCGGAGCCGCAGCACTGGCAAGAATGGTTGTCGTCATTGTAGCACTATGAACCCTGCACTAGAACATGCACCCGACAGCATCCCGGAAGCGATCCCTCCCCCGATGGAGTTCCTCAGCAATTACTTTTTTGAGGAAGCTAGGGTGGTTGCTGAAGCCATTCCCAGCGAACCTGAGGCCTCGAACACGTAAGTCCGAGTTTTGCGGTGTCTGCTGTTCCGAGTTTCCAGAGGTCAGGAGCTACAGATCCTTCGGGGCTAGGACCCTGGGAGACAGCTCAGTGGACGGGCTAAGGAGAGAAGACGACAGCATGGATAACATAAGTGAAGCTTTGTGTGGAAATAGAAACCTCCTCT